GTTCCCTTTACCTTTCTCCTTGTAAATAAACCCATTATGGAACCTTTTGAGTGTGTCCATAATACGACTGAATCTTAAGTGCGTGCGTGAGGACGCACAGACAGGCAACCCAATTCACATTGGGGTGCCCTGTAACAGCACCCTGATTTAATGGGCGGCCCTGGACACAGTCTGAGTGGGTAGGCCAATTTGCCTCTGTAGTCGTACACGCTGACTAGGATATAGCTTACACAATCCATAACCTATACTCTCTGGCTCTTAATTGAAAGCTACAGCTGATCACAGAAATGCAGCCTTGCTCTCAGTGAGCACACACGGACTTTAGGCTGCACAGATTGTGATCTAAAAGAACCACGACTTGGGCCTCCCTGGTGACCGAGGGGTTCAGCCCCAGCACTGTGAAGATGTTCACAGCCGCTGCAGCCAGTATGATCCCGGCCAGGCAGTGACCCACAGGGCCAGCAGACCTCTCCTGTCTCCCGCTGCTCCCCTCAGCAGTGGATTTCTGTCCATCTGCCTGTTCTGCTCCCCACTCCGTCTCTGGTGAATCCTTTCACCGCCCTGCACCTCTGGCCTGCACCCCAGCTTTTGTCTGCATACATAAATAAATAAATTCTTAAAAAAACAAACCAACCATGACTGCTTCCAAAGACGTAGGTAACTGGCATATTGCTGGTGACGCGGGCACCGAGTCACGGCATGACATGGGGTGGGGGCGGGCGGGGGGCCGACGGTGAAGGGTGACATGAGGTGAAATGCTTTGAAGTCCACTCTAAGACACGGATGCAGCTGCCAGACGTGACTGACCGTCTCTGATGTGGCCACGGTGTTTCTGAATCCCACTCAGTGTGTTAAGTCCCTTCAAGTGTGCTGGCTGCAAACCTGGTCTTCAAAACTGAATTATGGAAACAAACATGCTGACAGGCTGCCGTCTTATGGTCTCAGCTCCGATTCTGACTGCTCTGGACATTGAACACCCCAGCTAAGCTCTGATCCAGATAACTCGTGTAAGTTCATCAAAAACAAAGAAGCGAAATTAAACCTATGGTGAACAGGGTCATTTTTCTTCATTCTTATTTCCAGAGATGGGGCTTCTCCACAGAAATGGTCCCAAACTAGCGAACTCTGCCACATTTCTGTGGACGCTCAAGTCACCTGCCCTCCAATACCTGAGGATGAAGAGAACGTGCCACAGTGTCAGGGGCATTCTGGACAACAGCTTAGAAGTTTTTAGGAGAAAATGAGTCGCACGTCATTACAGTTTTTGTGGCACAGCTTCAAGCACATGCGGGAGGGAAGCGTGTACGGGAAGGGAGGGGATGGTCTCCCCCCACCCCCAAAACACCACACAGCAGCCACACTGGCCTGGGGGGAGACGAGAGAGGACCAGGCGCAGGGAGCGGTCCAGTGCAGTCAGCTGGCACCCCTATAGCCCCGAGCCAGCAACAGGAACACCCCTTTCTCTGTCCCACCCTTCCTCCCTCAGCCCCACCCCTCATCAAGCATTGAATTGAGCAAGATAAGCTGCTCAGAGAGAAACAAACTCTGAAGTGACTGAACTTCCTTGTCTCTCCCATCAAACATCCCCCAGCTAAATCACTCAAAGGAACTGAGGAACCAGCCAGCACAGTGGGCCTGAGCGCAGGGCGTGGGCAACAGGTGAGTCAGCGTCTCCAAACAAAGCCAATCTGCACAGCAGAGACTCAGGTAGGTGAATACAAGACAGGGGTGGGAGGAGGGAAGACAGATGGACAGATGGACAGACAGGGGAGCTGCAGCTCATCGCTGCTTCAGACTCTCTACCTTTCAGGATGCTGGGAATGAAAAGGAAAGCTTCAAACACCACCTCAGATATCTGAACCCAAGTCGCGCCTTACACAGAAGGGAAGAAAATGCAGTTATCACCGGCTCCCCCGGAAAGCTGTGGACCAGACGGGTCACAGATGCCCCAAGGGGCTGAGGGGCCGGAGCCACTGTACTGTCCGGTTCTGCCTGTGCCCCTGGCTCCTGGGGTCTCTACTCCCTCCTCCCGGCACCCCTTCTCATGGCTGAGTGCTCTGAAACAGCGGGCTGCCGGCAGAGACCGCCAGTGGTCAAGGGCTGGGCCCGTTTCTCAGCCATCCTGTGACTCGTAGCTGTGACAGCCGGTCACTGAAACACCTCGACAGAGCCTCTGTGAACTGAGACGGAAAATCCTGGTGAAAACATGTCTAATACAACCGCCCTCCTAGGTCCCAGTTTCTTATCTCTCCTCCTTCCTTCTTTGTAACAGGGGGGTCCCTAGGCAAAGGGGAAGTTCCAGGTTCCCTACCCCACCCAGCAGGGTGGAGCTGAGCAGAGAAAAAAGGAGAGAAGAGAAAGAAGCTGGATGGAGAGCCAGAAGGAGACCTGAGGAAGCCACAGGGAGCAGCAAGCATGTGATGAGGAAACCGGGCTTGTTTCCTGGCCTGGACTGGCGAAGGCAGATGTGGGTGAGAGATCCGTGGGGAGGTGACTATGGCCGTGTTTATATGGATTTTGATGTTGCTCTTTTCCTCCCAGATTTGTCTGGCCATTTCTGACCCTTTTCCATGGGTCCCGGCCAGAAGATGCTTTAGGCTGGTGGCAGCTTTCAGGCCTTGCTCTGGGCCAGTCCCTTTTGGCTGACTTTTGCCCATGAGGGGATGGGTCACTTCAGGTGTTTGATTTAGAAGTTATATTCTCTGTGTTCTGTATTGTATATTCACTGTATTAAAGTCCCTTTGCATTACAGTTTTATATGTGTTGTCTTGACGCGGCGGATGGCAGAACCCACTTAGAGCAGGCAGGTTGGGGGCTTCAGGGGTGCCCCTCTCTCCCTGTCCTGTAACAGATTTGCTGTCCTGTAACACCATCTCCTGTCCCCTATTTGTACATTCTCTTATTGGACAGCCTCTCTCCTGACACCAAGTTCATACTCATAAAAACTTTGAAATGACTCTGTAACAGCTCTGTAACCTCACAGACAGATTGAGTGAAACGTTCTGGCTTCACGACCTGCACGGTGACACCCAGCCGTTGACTTCTTCAGCCCCTAGGGCTTCGCTAGGCTGTACAGTGGCCCGCTGCAGGGCCACAGGTCACTCAGGGACAAGACAAGGTCGCTTGTTTTGCTTCGAGGGTGTCAGAGGCCGGGCGTGGCCGTGTGTCTACAGCAGGCCACTGAGGAGCCCACAGGGAGACCCTGGGAGAAGTCACTACAAACACTGGCGTGGCCTGGAGAGAGGGAACCCCTTCCTGGCCTCTGCCAAGCCATCGCTCCTTTGCGAAGTAACCTTTTTCCAGTGGTTGACACAGAATGTGCCAACCAGTGCTCCAGGATGGAAAGGCCCACGGGGACCTTTTCTCCTTCTGAGAACAGAAACTCTGAACAAAATACAGAAAAACCCAACTACTTGCATTCAAATAACCATCACAGGAGGGCTGGGGCAGGGGTTGGGAGGGTGGGCGCCAGGGTGGCCCGGAGATGCTGGACATTGCTAGGCGGTTGCTGAATGGGAAGAAACCTCAACTCTGCATTCTAAGTCAAAGGAAATATCCTTCGGGAATGAAGGCAAAATGAAGTCATTCTCAGACCAGGGAAAATACAGAGCACACAGTCTGAAGTAGGGTGTCACGTGGAATGAAAGCCACATTCACAAGGCACACGACGCCTAGACAGCGAAATCCCTGCTCGCCCCAGACTGGACGCCACGTGTTCCTTAACTGGTAAATGGACAGACCAAGGGGGGTCCCTCCCAACAGTGACACATCATGTGGAAATGAGAAAGAGAACACATGCTGAACGGCATGTTAAGAATTCCGCAAATTCCGAACAGGGCAGAAATGAACCGTCTTAAGAGGGGATTTGGGAACTACATCATTCGTAGCAGAGTGTGCAAAGGGAACAGAATACATAGTTTAAATGAGATCACTGAGATACAAAGGAGTGTTTTCACTTTAAAAAGTGAGGAAGTGGCCCTCTCTGGTGGCGCAGCAGATTAAAGCACAGCACTGAGAAGCTAAAGCCACTTCAGCATGAGTTCGATCCCTGTCTGCCCCAGAGGAGATCCACATGGCGCGGCAGACCTCTCCTGACCCGCCCACTGCTCCCCTCAGCAGTGCACTTCACCGATCCACCTGTTCTGCTCCCCACTCTGTCTCTGGTGAATCCTCTCACCGCCCCTGCACCTCTGGTCTGTACACCAGCTCTGTATGCATAAATAAATAAATCTTAAAAAAAAAATGCATCCTCAATGTAATTGTGAATGGCTAAGTCTTTTGTTTCAAAGGTTTATTTTTATTTATACAAGAACTGTAGTATATTCCAAGGGCTGGGGGTGGGTGGGTGGGTGTGACAGGCCTCACCACAGACAGAGCTGGGAGCCGAACAGGCAGATCTACTGAAGCACACTGCTGAGGGGAGCAGCGGGCGGGTCAGAAGAGGTCCGCTGTGCCATTGTGGGTCACCTCCCTGCCAGGGGATCGAACTCAGTCCTCAGTGGCTGCTGATAGCTTCATAGTGCTGATACTTAATCCCTGTGCCGCCAGGGAGGCCCAACAGATGGCTACACCTTAGTGGAAATTTTTGTTGTAGAATGCAAGTTGAAAATGAGCTAAAAATGTGCAAGTTCAGAAACCTTTAGAACAGAACTGCATCACCCATGCCGTGAGTGTATGAGTTTTGATATAAATCTTACAGCTCCTGCCAGGTAAGCAAACCTTTCCATTTCCCTGTTACAAACATGGCTATGTGGTCACAATATGTATTTCAGCCCCAGTGTCTAAAACAGACACTCTCTTATTGGCTGCTGTCACGACTGTCATCACTATCATCCCCACCCCTGATATCATCACAACTATTACAGGGAAAAACCAAGATCAGGCCCCACACCCGGCCGCCTATCTCTCGTAACTCTGACTCGCATTTCCCTGCACTGGTGTGCATGCATGTGCGGTCACCGGTAAAGTAAAAACGTTTGTGTGTTAAAGGTTGAACATACCCTGTCAAAGAGTGCAAAGAGTTGTCTCAGGACGTCGGAAACGGGCAACTTCAAATACTCTGCAAATTCCTCAATCCCGATCCGTCCTCCCTTTGAGGAACTGGCAATGGCCGCGTACTCGTCCAAATGCTTGCGGACGCCATCCCAGTCCAACCTGAGCAAAGACAGAATTATAAGCGCACGGTACTAGCCCTGTGAGCACCTGCGGGGATTACTGTGTTCCTCTGGCTGAGGGAAAACTACTTTTTTTTTTTTTAAGATTTATTCATTTATTCATATAGAACCGGGGTACAGGCCAGAGATGCGAAGGGTGAGAGGATTCACCAGAGACAGAGCGGGGAGGAGAACAGGCTGACTGAGAAGTACACAGCTGAGGGGAGCAGCGGGCGGGTCAGGAGAGGTCTGCCGCGCCATGTGGTCACCTCCGGGGCAGGCGGGAATCGAACTCATGTGGAAGTGGCTTTAGCTTCTCAGTGCTGTGCTTTAACCCGCTGGCCACCAGGGAGGGCCTGAGGGAAAACTATTTTAAGCATTACATTTGAACAGCAGAGTTGTTCTAAAGCAGCTGTTCCACATGCATCTCATTTTTCAAAGGTTTTAGCATAGCTAATTATCCCAAATATCCAAGGGAAAGAAAAGCACCTGAGAAGAAAAGAGATGTGATAGATTCATGAGGAGAACATTGGAAGGGACACAGGGATCGAAACATGACCTAGCAAATCAATAGTACTGACTGAGTGGCATGAGAACCTCAACTACTACTTTGAAGAAAACTTCTGGCTGATCATGAATTCACATCTAACAGAATGTTGTGACAGGAAGATTCATTAGGCTCTACACACTTCCTCCCATATTAGTTATGAGAGCCACGGTGATAAAACCCTGGAAAATATACTGTAGCTATATCACATTCTGTCTTTGTCTTGTATGATTAAACAGGTGACAACACAGATTTCTTCTGTATCCAATTTCAGTGACTGTCTAAACTTTTCACATCTGCAAGGGTATTGTAAACATAACACCAGAACATTTTTGTTATCTAGAAGACATAAATAATAATATTTGCCATATCAGTTATAAAAATTTTTTTTCGTAGAAGAAAAAATAGGCAGAACATCCCAGGACACTGGCCTCGGTGGGGTGGGGGTTGGGGAGGTCTCTGGGAACGCAGCTCAGTGGCGAGAGAGAAAAGAGCCAAAGTAAGTGAATGGGATTATACCAAGCTGAAATGTTTCTGTATAGCAAAATAACCTATCATTAAAAAAATAAATAAATAAAAGAAGACACTGGGCCTCCCTGGTGGTGACCAGTTAAAGCATAGCACTATGGAGCTGTCCACAGTCACGGCAGCACGAGTTCGATCCCCGGGCAGGGAGCTGGCCCATGTGGCACAGCAGATCTCTCCAGGCTCCCCGCTGCTCCCCATGATTCAGTGGAACTGCCTCATCTGTTCCCCAGTCTGTCTAAGGTGAATCCTCTCACCCCTCCACCTCTGGCCTGTTCCCCAGTTCTTGTGTGGCTAAAAATAAAAAATCTTGAAAAAACAAAACAAAACAAAATAAACCCTAGAAATACGCCTGCAGAATGGAGGTGACCAGCGGGGAGGATTGGGAGTGGGAGCAAGGACGGGGAAAGGGCCCGGTGCTCTGTGGTGAAAGATGGTGGGTGTCGTGGGGTGGCGTGCACCCCAGGAGGCACGAGCCTATTCCCCTAAATGATATAAGGTGTCGTAAACCAGGGTCACCTCAATTGAAAAAATTATTTTTTAATATTAGACTCTAAAGCAGTAGTGGGTTCTGCAGCTGCCTCCCTGGCAGGATAACGAAGGTCTGTTCAGTCAATAAACTGCAGATTCCTAACAGGGCAGAAATGAACTGTGACAGGAGGAGGGCTGGTGGGGGGCTGGGGGGGGCTGGGGAGTTCCGTCTCTCGTAGCAGGGCCGAGGGTATGTTCTAAATAGTTTTAATGAGACGTTGAGGCACAAAGGCGTGTTTGACAGCGCGTGTGTGTGTGTGTGTGTGTGTGTGTGTGTGTGTGTACCCAGACAGAACAGGAAGACCTGGGGGAAGGTTTAAATTCAGGGATGGGTCTGAATTGCTCTTCTCAGGACAACTCACGTTTCACATGAGGATTTCTTTTTTTTCCCTTAGATTTATTTATTTCTGCATACAGGACTGGGGTACAGGCCACAGGTGCAGGGGCAGTGAGAGGCTTCACCA